TAAGTGATTATTTAATGTTGATTGGTATAAGTGAAACCTTCATGACTGTATTAGAGTAATTATATATGAGATACCCTAATTATGTAAAAGTTCGGTGCTGCCATCTCTCTAGCTTTCCCCTRAATAAGATTCTGATTATAATATTCAAATTTGAAAAAAAATATCATTCATCATTGTAATGTAATAGGTACAATATTATTATGATAATTATTGTTTAAAAATCTATTTTTTTGATAAAACAAAATAAATGCATTAATTGCGTATAATTCAATATAAAATTATTTGTGGATTTCTTCCTCAYGCCTACCAAGGTRCCACTRATRTATCTATATCATTATATARTCTATGTGTGTAGTAATATTGACACGTTAAACCACGAAAAATGAGTTTTTCTTATCTATATGTATAATATTATCGGTATGTGCGTGTTTTTGTGTACTTAAATGTACTTCACTACAAGTAAATAACGCGTATACGTGCGAATGCACTGAAAAATGGTGGCGTGAAACAATTACCTATGTATAAGTTAAAAAAAAAAATAAAAAAGTAAGAGGTCGGAACGTTTTKAAAAACCTTTGAAAAGAGTAGGTAATCAATCTAATCATATACGCCATACCTGGTCTGTATACGCAGTAGCTACAAAGGGTTTAAAATTTGATTTAACAAACGAATTTCCTAGTTTCTATGTAGGTACATCTAAAGCGATTATAACGGTTGTATCAACACAAAAGTTGTTTATATAAATATAAATAGTTGATTATAATTTATAGCTGTGTTTCACATTTATGTATGGGGAGGCAAGTAATGTGTGCACAGTGTATTCCACAATCAATATTAATATTAATAACGAAAATTTTAGTTTTCGAACACTGCTAGAAATGAGTTAATATTATTATTTATATCAATGTTTTTTCTTTTCTTTTTTTAATCACTTTAATTTTTATTTGTGAATTCTATTCTGTTGTTGAAGTTTTTTGGTGCTTTAAATATTATATATTTATATTATTATAGTTCTTACTCTAAACTGCAGCAGGATTTTTGGATATTTTTA